GAATTTTTCACACAGTTGAGATATGGGAAAAAGACTTGAAATAAATTATTTACATCGATACGTCCTGATGACAATTTTAAAGAAAACAAAAAATGTGTTTGCATAAATTGGAGAATTATCTCCCTGTGTTGTGATTGAGAGGTTATGTTGAGGGAGGGGGGCAGTGATAACTTCCTCAATGGCTCAAGGGGGCGATTCTTTCAAAAGGGTTAAGAACCGCTGGACTAGAGGACCTACAAGGTCCATTCCAACTCTGTTATTCTGAATGGAAGGGACCTTGGAGGTCATCTAGTCCAACCCCCCCCCAAGCAGGAAACCCCACACCATTTCTGACCGAGGGCAGCCCAGTCTCTTCTTGAGAGCCTCCAGGGATGAAGCTCCCACAACCTCTGAATGCAACTTCTGTTCCATGGGTTGATTGCTCTCCGTGTCAGGAAATTCCTTATTTCTAGGTTGAATCTCTCCTTGATCAGTTTCCATCCATTATTCCTGTCTGGCCTTCGGATGCTTTGGAAAACAGCTTGACCCCCTCCTCTCTGTGGCAGCCCCTCAAATATTGGAACACTACCATCCTGTTGCTCTATAAGAATGCTATTTGATATGTTTTTCTTATTGATAAGCTTTCAGAAAAATTACAGCATAGAATATTGTTATAAATGTGTTATGGATAATGGATATAGCAAGATATATGTCAATATATTGTATCTAATAAACTCCTATAATGAAAAGGTATTTGGGTGTAAATATATAGAACTGTGTCCAAATATGTATTCCATAATGAATAGAAATTGCTCAAATATCCCTTCACTGGCTTTAGAATTCATCTGGCACCAACATTTATAGCCCATTGTCTTGAATAGTTAAACCTGCAACAAGAGAAGCTGTGCTAAATAGTTGTAATGCCTCCAGCGTTAAATGCAAAACCTTCTGATTAGCCCCATGCTAAACTCTTCATTGCTGGCACAATCTTTTCTTTTTCTCTGGAGGTGAAAGGCTCAACCTCTAGAGAAGCATTCTGAGGCAGTGGAAATCCTTCTCTTGGTTAGGCTAGGCATACCAAGAGAGTCCCTTCAACGGTTCACTGCGTGTTTTAACTTCCAGATCCTTCATCCTCTTGGTTGCTCTTCTCTGCGCTCTCTCTAGGATCTTTTCTCTGTCCCCGTGACCAGAGTTCCCAGCGTGACCCCACCAGCGCAAGGACAAAGGGGTGCTGTCACTTCACATGAACTTGATGCTCTCCCTCTGTTGATGCAGCCCAGGTCTGGCTTGGCTTTTTTGGCTGCTGCAGCACACGGCTGGCTCCTACTTGTGGCTGGGACCCCCTGATCTCTCCCGCAGTTACCCCTGTTGAGCCCAGCGCTGCCTATTCAGGGCCTGGCTTTTTTCCTTCCTTTGCTTGCTTTTTTGCCCAAGTGGCAGGACTTTTCTCCCGACTGGGCTGCGCCTTGTTGGTTAGGGCTCAGTGCTCGAGACCCTTGTGAATCTTGAGTCTTTCTTCCACGGGGTTAGCAAGCCCCAATTCTAATCCTGGGACGCATAAACCATCTGGTCTTGGTGACTGGAACTCATCTCAAGTACAAACGTGTTTTCTTAATGTTTTGCCTGTTTTTGGCTTTTCTCTTTTGTCTCCAACAATTTTGGAGGTTATCTGTTTTTGGTAGGTTAGGCTGTTTTTTCCCCCTTTTGTGTAAAAAGAGGCGCAAAGAAGAAACTAACCAGTTCTGCCTTCTCCCTGCTGCCCGTCACCTTCCTTGATTTTCTTCTTACTCCTTACATTTGGGAAAGAAAATGTTATTTTGGGCATTTGTTGCAAGTTTTAGCTCATTCTGTATCTTAGCTTTCCTGAAACCCTCCCTGCAGATTTCCTGTCCCGCCCCCCTATTCCCCCCCCCCCCCCGGCCCCCCCGCCCCCCCCCCCCCCCGCCTGTGTGCCCACCTGGAAGGGGCTCCCTGCCGATACTTTGTTCTAGTTCTGGGCACCTCAGTCCAGTTTTTACGCTTGTGCTTTTTATTATCCCTCGTTTTCCCAGAGCAAACCTTCCTTTCTTTCCCTGCGGTATTGTGTCTGCTTGGGCCTTCGTTTCTCAGAGCTTCTCGAGTATCTCGTTTTCCCCTTGAGGATTTCCATGGACAGAATCCTTCCGATTCCCGCTCTCGGTTTGCTGAAGTCTTAACGTCTGATGTTGTTCAGTTACCTAGGATTATATCATGGTGAATGCTAGTATGACGTGGCCACTCTCCCCCAAGGTGACTTCCACACCTAGTATCATTTCACCTCGGTTAGTAAGGATTGAGTGCAGCTGACCCTCCGGCTTCTTTCTCTAACTTTTGGGGAACAGGAGCCGCCAACCAGGCAGGCCGGGAGCCTCTTTGGTCTGCCACTCGCTGTGGAGGGAGTGTCTTTCCCAGCTGATGTCAGGGCAAAATCCCCATTGCTGGAGTGGCAAGTTTCTTGCAGCCCCTGGTTTAACCGTATAGCAAAAGGTCCATCTATTTCCTCTGCCTGGTTGGGTGGCTTGTGCTACATACGTCATTCACCCCCCCGATGCATTTAAGGCTTCAGGTCGCCCCTCCCGCCCTCCTCCAGTTTTGGGA